CACACTAAGTATCGAACACTATAATACACAACACAATATATTATATAACACACACATATACCATACACATATTATATAACAACAACACTAACACATATAATATAATATATAATAAGTATATATTCTATACACACTCAACACTAATACACAATATATACACTAACGTTAGGCACTACTATAACACTACACACTCACATATTTACTTTATACGTATATAATGTATATTATGCCAATAACGCCATTATATATAGTAGCGTTTACCGCTTAAACGTGGATAATGACTATACAAATACTCATGAACATTATTGACAAAGGTGTATCAATTTAAGAATTAACGTTGGAGAATGAAAACCATATGAATATATAAAAAAAAATATAATAATAGTAGAAATCACCGGTAGTTATACTACTAATACTATAAATATATATTAAGTGTATATATATATAATATATACAATCAAATGAATCCGAATAAATACAATTTCTATATAAAATATATATATGATAACTAGCCACTACCTCTAAACCCTATACTATATAACAATAAAAAATATAATAATATATATATAATAAATCTATCTAATTATCTATCTATCTTAAATCTATATAAACTATCTAATACATATACATAATACTAAATCTAATACTAATCTTATCTATCTATTCTTTCTATCTTATGTATCGATATATATCTCTATTTCTTATAAATAAAATTATAAATATATAATAATACATTTACCCTTTTTTCTCTCAGTAACTAGAAGAGATATATTATTTATATCCTCCAGAATAAAATAAATTTTTAAGCATAAATCAGAGAAAATAATAAAATTCTATGAAAAATTGTAAACGTAAGTAAAGATAAAAGTTCTAATAAATGAGTAAATAATCGAATGTAATAAATATATACAACTAAAAAAAAAGTAGAAAATGATAATAAAAGAAAACAACAAGGAAAAGAAGAGGATAGAAAAGAAAAGAAAATAATAAGTTACGCCTTCCAGCAACATTATACATACAGATTCCTCACTGCTCACATGAGTATAAAGATATTATACGAGAATTATTATACTTATTAAAGGGAAACTATTATTACTATATTCTTAATAAATATCTCCCAGACCTTCGGAGTAATAAAAGAGAGAGAGAGATAGCTACGATACTGAGCAAGAGAGTGAGAGTAGAGTAGAGATGAGAGATGTAGATAGGAGTAGAGAGATAGATAGACACGAGAGAATAGATAGAGGGAGAGATAGATGAAGAGTAAAGAGATGAAGAGTAAGAGAAGAGAGTATATAGTATGGAGTAGACAAGTAGCATATATTAAGGAATACGAGACTAACTCTGTTTATTATTATGATGTATGTAATTCCGATCTAGTCGCTAAAGAACTGAAGTAATAATAAAGATCGTAAAAGTAAATTAAGGAGGTAATGATAAGGGCTGATTAATTAATAAGAGTAGTAATAGATATCGACTACATAATAAATATAAACGTATGTATAGAAGTATTACTCGAGAAAGCTATAAGGATACGAGAATTTGATTAATCATGATATACAAAGGAGTAGAGAATAGAATAATAGATGGATATATAGAGATATACATATATAGATAGGCTTGAATATTTACATATTAATAAATAAATAGATAATGAATAATTAGTACACATAAGTCCATCAATCATATAAGAGAAGTAGTAAAATATTATTAATACAATATATATTAAATAAGGCACATATAAATAGTAATATAAATCAATCTAATATATGAGTCTAAGATGATATGAGCATAAAAATATACTGATGCAGTATTAGAATATTCATTTAATGACTACCTCGGGAAGAACATAGTATAGATATTTAAAGAACATAATTATATCGACAAGATAAACTGTATAAGTATAAAGACAACCATATTAATAATAAAATAATATTATATTTAATATACATATATAATATATAATTATAATGATAAATATATATCATATATATATAATATATATATAATAAAGCAATATAATAATAATAATATATAACATATCTATATAACGAGGTAAGAGAATAAAAATTATACATATGTATATACTATTATATATATTTATATACACACCATATATAATAAGATAGTCAGATGAATTGATATAGAAGATATGGGATTATAGAGTACAGAGATGAGTATAGTGAGTAGTGATATAGAGAAAGAAGAGAGAAGAGAGATATAGATGAGATAAAGTATATAAGAGAGTAGAAGAGATGATATGTAAGAGAGACGAATAGTAAGTATATAAGAGATAGAATGAATAGATAGACATAAAGAAGAAGAAAGAGAAAGAAAGAAAGAAGAGCACACATAAATGAAACGAATATAATAAGTTACGAGTAGACACGAAAGAAAGTAGAGTCAGAAGTAAGAAATAATAAAACCGTTGTACAGACAGTAACAGTATATAAGATATATATACTCACCACTATCCTTGCGCTTAATATATATAGCTCAGATATTATCACCGTACGTCACAAACAATACCGTTCGATTATTAATTAAACAGCTCAATAATCACTTACTACGGAGACGTAAATCTCATCAGAATATATACCCATTCTATAGTTAGCTACGACCTTTTATCTCATTTATTCCCATTCCTATTCTCACATCCACTATGAGTCCTCAATCTACTATATAATACTTGAGCAACTACTTTATATAAAGTATGTAATTCATCAGTAATATTTATATATCAGATCATAATTGCATATGTATAATAACTAATATCTTCCTAATTTAGAAAGTAGATTGTAGGGGTAAGAGCTTGAGTTGTACATGATCTGTCTTCCTTACTTCTTTCTACTATCATCCCTTCATCTTACTAGACTTTCATCCCTCTACCTATCTATATCCTATATATAAATACCTCATCTCATCTATTTCATATCTTTCAATCTATTCATATATCATACTCATCCCTACTATTCATCTCATATAGATACTCACTCGTCTACTATAATACCCTCTATATTATCGCTACTCCCATATACCTCATTCTACTATACCACTATCTATTACTATCTACTCCTTACCCTATAATTACTATCTGTATTATATACTACCTCTCTCATATATATGTTATGTATATATATATTTAATATATATATATATACTACTTATAAATTACTATATACATACATATATCTAATATATATATTACCTATATTATATATATATATGTGTATGTTATATATATTTATATATCACTTATATTATATATATATATATTAAACTATATATACTACCATACATAATATATCTCTCTAATCACCCCACTATATATATATGTCATACTACCTATTATATCCCTAATATATAACCTATCTATACCCATATCTATTATATATCTATAGTAATATATACATATCTCTTTCATCACTCAATATGCTTGTTTACATTATTACTATGCACTATATAACATATTACTACTCAGACAGATCGATATTACATATTGATAACTACGATCTATACTCAGGCTAGAAAATAAAGTATAAAGATAGTCTATACTAAATCTAAAAACGAATAACGTATTTCATGTAGTGACTAATGTTAAAGTGTAGGAATTATAGTTATCCAGATATAGGACCGTAACTATACTACCTTCATAATCATAATGAGTTGATACCTATTATACTCATATATTAACTAGGTAATTCGACTATTACAGTTAGGCGTCACTACTCATATATATTTATTACTCCGGTGTATATATATATCATTAATAATTACTGGTGGTGTATATAAGAGTATATAACCTACGTATAGGATGATACTACCTATATATATACTATATATATAACTATATATAATATAATATATTTATATATATATTATATATATATTATTTTTAGTATAGTGCTATACGTTAAGGTGTATTTATAATATGATAGTATATATATAGTATTATAAATAAGTAGTAAGGGAGAGTTAGTAAGTAAGAATGAAAGGACAGCTATATAAGTATATGATATAGATAAAATGTTAAAAGTAGAGAGGAGGAATATATATAGTACATATTTATATATATGAGTAATATAATATAGTCGTTTTTGACTATAGTGTAATATATAAATAAGTTTAGTACTGTATATAGTATATATAAAGTGATATATAAGAATAAGGTGTATAGTAGTAAGTGTAAGTCCAGTACTATATATGTGTGTGTGTGTGTGTGTGTGTGTGTGTGTGGTGTGTGTGTGTGGCTGTGTGTGTTTGTGTGTGTGTGTGTGTGTGTGTGTATGTGTGTGTGTATGTGTGTGTATGTGTGTATGTGTGTGAGTGTGTGTGTGTGTGTGTGTGTGTGTGTGTGTGTTGTGGTGTGTGTGTGTGTGGTGTGGTGTGTGTGTGTTGTGTGTGTGTGGTGTGTGTGTGTGTGTGTAGTGTGTGTTTAATTATCTATTATTTATTCATGATATATATATATATGTATATATATATCATATATATAATAATAGATACATAATATATATATAATATAATATTATATATATATATAATATACATATATATGTATATATATATATATAATATTTATATATATATATTTATATATATTATATATATATATATTATATATATCTATATTTGTGTGTGTGTGTGTGTGTGTGTGTGTGTGTGTGTGTGTGTGTGTGTGTGTGTGTGTGTGTGTGTGTTTATGTATATATTATATAATATAAATATTTTATATATATATTTATATATATAATTTATATATAATATATATATATATATATATATATATATATATATTTTATAGTATATATATATATATATATAATATTATATATATATATATACATATATATATATATATATATATATATATATATATATATTATATATAATATATACATATATATATAGACACACAAATCAGTGCACTAAGGAAGAAAAAAAAAAAAATGACATGATCAAAAGAGAAGATAACATATTTTCAATATATGAAATTGAGCTTGACTTGAGAGAGCAATTTCCCTTCATGTTGAAATGAAGAAGTGTCTGATTGACAGCATTCTCTATTACACCCTTAAGGTGTTTTGAATTCAAATTTACTGCAATTGGTAACCTGGAAAATGTGATTATGTAGAAATTAGAAAATAAATAAAACTGATTATGACTGAAGAATATTCATCTATAAAAACAAACACACAAACAACACAGCACACCACACACATAACTCTCTCTCACACTCACTCACACACACACACACACGGAACACACACACACCACACACACACGACACCACCACAACACACACACACACAAGTTCAGAAGAAGACACACACTCGATAATTGAACAAAGCACACACACTCCATAGATAACGACAGACAGTAATCGGAGGAGGGGATCGAGCGCATAACATAAAGACCTGCACTTATTAACAACATCTCACGAACAGAAAAATCAAAACAGATCAAATAGAGGGAATATATAGCTACGAATTAACAAACACCCACTATTCTAACTACACACATTCTATAAACACACACTATTCAACAAACAAACTACGCATGATCTCAACACTCCCCGTTACACACAGACAGATATTTCGGGTTCACACATTAGCAATACATGAAGAGGCAAATCACTCCTTAATTCCGTAAAGATGGCCACGACTCACAACAAAGCAATAAGCCACTCATTACACTCACACATCTCATCCACCAACCTCACACCACACTCATCACAGCACAACAGCACAACTCACTACACTGGTCTCGGGGACCACACGCCCAACCAGCTCATACACTCACAAATCCCACTCATACACTCACACTACGACCCCGCGAGTGTTGTCCAAACTCCCCTAAACATCCTTTCTACCCTCTTATAACATAGGACGAACGACTGAGAGAACGCACGCGATTACGAGGGCGGGCCGGAGTCAGGAGACGAGGCAGGTAGATAGTGCTAGGGAAGGGGGAATCGAGTCGACGCGGAACGGAGTATGCTGTAAGCTCAGGACTATCGCGGAGCACGAAGAGAGACGAACGATCGCACGGTAGTGGAGGCAGGCGGCGCGAGAGTAGGGGAGAAGGAAGGAGACGAGAGGGAAAGCGGGAATGGGTGGGGAAGGATAGGGAGAGGAATAGAATCCGGCGTAGTCAGGGAGTCTTAGTACAGCTGTCAACGTCCTCGGGTAATGGGGAGAAAGAGAGACGAGACGAGAGAGTGTAACGAGATGACGAAGCACGCAGGAGTAGAGAATGCAGAGAGGAGAGAGAGAGAGAGAGAGAGATCGAGAGAGAGGGCACGATGAGCATACTCAGCTATCTCTCCTAGTCACTTCTGCTCTCCTGCAATTTGGCACAACGTAGACTAAAAAGAATAAAAAACCCCGATTATCAGCCATTATCTCCCTCCATTTTTGTCTGCCAGTCTCTACGGTTGCTCCATATCTCCGTCTTTTATATAGACTCCTACCCATGATGCTCCATAGACCTGAAAAGAATGAGTCATGTACCTTGTTCTATGGGAAAACCTCATGTTGACACTGGTATTTAATCTTACACTTGTCACAGTGGTCATTGGCAGGGAACTGAAATGTAGCTAAACTAATTCCTGATCTAAACTAAGGTCTCTCTAAAACTTTGTGCATTTTTCACTGCAAACAATTTTGTTTTCATGATTGGTTCTGTTAACCACTGGAAATATGAGAATTTCTTATGTAGCTAATTCCAATTTCATATGAATTCCATAAAACTCATCTTCACTCTGATGTAACACTAGGCAAATCTATATAACCTTTAACCTGTAGCTGACAGGTGGCATGTATGTACATGCCATGGCTGTTGTGAACCAAAAAACGGATGGCATCGTATCATGCCCAACCCCATGCCACTGGCTCATCGGACGGAGTTTGTTTTTCTCTGATAGTAGCGGCTTTATTCAAATGGCACCTATAATGAAGGTAAACCTTCAAAATTACAATATTATAAATTATAGCAAAATAGAAGCTTTTAGGTGCCAAATGTAGCTCGCAAACTACCAATCGAGCTGGGTGCAAAAAGGGAAAACTGCTGATGCAAGCCAACAATCCCGTTAGTATGTCCACTTCCCAAACATTTTTACCCATCAGCACTGGGATAAGTAATGCCAAAGTATTAATATTGGTATGAAATGAAGAAAAATGGACATGGTACTACCTGGCATTATGAAAGAATTGAAGGCATATCAAATAGATAAGTCTATATTGGACTGTCTTTGAGACAACAGGTTACACTACCAAGGCTAAGCATAGGATATGTACACATCAAAATCGAAGCTTAAAAATAAATAGAATATAAAATAATAATAGGAAATAAATTCATGCAGAAATAGGAATAAAAAATCTTACTTATTTCTGGCATAAAAATGTTTTCCCAGTAACTTTGGCAGGAGTTCCATAATGCAATCTTGACCGAGGACCACCTGGAACCGATTCGCTAGATTTCTTTTAGCTTCAAATTCTTTATATTCCATTCTTAATTGCTTCAGAGTTATAACCTGAAAAAAAAGTTAGAATTATCTATGAGGCAAAATTGAACATATAGTTTATTATGATGATCTTAGTTTTTTTTCTTTTTTAAATTAACCCACTTGTGCTGGGTGTCACACACATGTGACACCCAGAATATGGACAATGGCCAGCTGTCCCACCAGTGCGACGTTAGATTTTTATCCACAATCCCCACTGGCTAGGCCAAAATTAACACTGAACTTACAAAACATTTGGTAAGAATATTTTAGGAAAACTGGTCCAAGGCCGCCTTTGGCTGCACATACCAATGATCCAACATCAATGGGTTAATGCAAAACAGTGAAATTATCTATAATCAATGGGTTAATGTAAAATAGGGTAAAATTATCTGGCATCAATTGATTAATGTAAGACAGGGTGATTGCTATACATATTTGACTATTATTACAAAGCCATTATATAATTACACATATCATATATGTGATGATTATTTCAAAACCTCGTTATACAATATATACTTTCAAATACATACTTCTGTAATGTAATGTGCTGCTTCCTTTTGTATGAGTAACTCTTTGAAGTGGTTGAGTGTTTTCTCATAGTCAGGCCCACGTTCACAGTCAAGCATTCTGGTTATGAGCAAGACATCTGTGTCTTCACCCAATATAGGATGTGGCAAGGGTCTGAAATCAATATTGGTAAGGATTCAAACAATTTTCCTATGAATTATCAGAAGGATATATATCAAACTAAAGACAATCATATACAGATTTTTCTTTTCCTATCCCCACTGTTTACAAATCTGTAGTTACTAGAAAAGAAAGAAAGAAAAAAAGGACACAACCAAAACAGAAACACAATAAAATACAAACATTTTGATGGTCAATGGTGATCGTTTATCTTTATTTTTGGGCACTTTGCATAAACTGACTTGCAGGCAAATGTGCTGATCACTGTCTACTTCTAACAATTCTTTAGATTCAGCCAATAATTTGTTGCACAATTTTCGGACACCTGCAACAGCTGCTTGCACCTGTGAAGTTCAAAGAGTTATACTGTAAGTCACATGTATGTGAATCTAAAGGCTAAAGCCTTTATGTGTAAAAGCAAAGCCCAAGAAACTATCTCAATTTCTTTCTTCACCTCTCTCTCTCTTACTAATGCGATGGAAAGACCTTTTTTCAAATGAAAAATCTCTTTGTATATATTTACTTATATAGAACAAAAGTAACACATAAGATTATTTACCTGGATCTCATCTAATTGAGAAAGAGCCTTCTCTTTTTTCACTTTACTTTCCTGTGCCGATTTATTCTGATTCTTGTTTTTTTCCCCGCCTTTTGACTTGTTTTTGCTTGCCTTGATTTTGTGCTCCCACATCTTTCTTTTCAAAAGCCTCTCCCTTCTAGCTTCCTTGGATGACTTCTTTGCAATTGTTGTCAAACCAGGTTTTTTCTTCATCACATCTTTTTGGCCATTCCTGAAAGGGAATGTGATGTTATAATAAAGTTGTTTTTATCTTATGTAAATCTGTGAAACAAAGAAAAAGGGAGGAAGAGGATAATCCAACAGTGACAATGCAATAATGGCAAGTTGTGACCTCATACAAAAATCTTTGGGGGAAAAAGAAAAAAGAAATCAAAGAAAATAAGAAAAAAACTACCATGCATACTGATAAATGGTGGGCAAACCTCAACCTTTTAATTCAACAAATACAATAATGGTTTGAATTAACTGCTGAAGTATTCTGGTACAGGCTATAAAGCTATTACACTGCCATACTTAATTTACTAGTAACAATTTATGACTGGTAGTTCAGAATCTGTATGGAGTATATGCAAAAAAAAAAAAAAAAAAAATACTAGTATCAAATATAAAATGCAATTGCAAGGGGTTGTAATTGATAATCACTCACACTTAGTTTAGTTCATCTATACTATAGCCTATAAAACATACATATCACCAGTTCAGTTCAATACTTAATAAGATTTTGTTACACAAGAATAAACATTAATTGTTTACAATAACAGATATGTAACAAATACTGGATTTCTACATAATAAAATCCAAAATGCACACATTTTAGAGCTTACTTAACCCATTGGCGCCGGGTGTCACGTACGTACATGCCATGGCTGTTGTGGACCAAATGCCAGGGGCATAATGCCATGCCCATTCCTCGCTAAAAACTACCGATCGAGCGGCACAAACAGGGGAAACTGCTGGTGCGCGCCAACAAGCCGGTGCATACGTAAACTTGACAAAATATTTACCCGTCGCTGATGGGTCAAACATGAATTGGTATGGCGATAACTGTCTCACTCTCAAGTGGTACGTTTGTTGAATGTATCTTTATGGTAGGCTGAAATTGTGTAATGTGTTACATTCTAATGTATATAGTATACTATTTTGAGCATACATAATCTGGGGGGGGGGGGGCTGGGGACTTGCCCTGGTAGACAAATACTGCTGGGAAAGGGGGTCCAGGAGCTTGCTCCATTTACTGACTAGAAAGGATTGTCCCCTCCAATTCAACTCCAATTCCTCATGGGTACCCCAAGACTGAAGAAAGAATTAATACAAAATCTAGACGTGGTGGTATTTGTAGGAACGACCAATTATGTTAATATTCATTTCATAAAAGCTGGCACTAAACTAACCTACTCCCTCACTCACTCTCTCTCTCTAAACAGTTTTGCCAGTATTAGAGCAGTCACTTCAGAAGAGATTGACAAGTCCCTCATTACAAGAAAATGCTCACATCGAAGTAGGAAAAAGCCTTGACAAATGCTTTACATGGTAGAATTTTGTAAAAGAAATTTTCTCCAATAAATAGATTTTCATGCTAATATTTAAAAATTCAATTTCTATACTACAGTACTCTCATGCTCTAATCCATTCTAGCTGTTGTACAAAAATGTAAATAAACACAGCATTGCTGCTTATTTTGTTGTTTATCAAAAGCAGGTATACCAGACATAACTGCAGGCAAATTTATATTCTGGATTGTTTACTTATTTGACAAAACACTACTGGGAAAGGGTACCTTATGGAAAAAAAAAACTCCCCCTCTATCACCTGTCCTACATAATATTTTTGATTTCCAAACTTGCTCTACTGTGTGGATTGCTTAATTTCTAAACGTTTTTTTCAGCATTTGGGGCACCTGATGGGCTCTGATATCAAACCCAGAATCGACGCAACACAGAACACGAAACATTTCTCGCCAGCCTTCTTTCACCGAATGGCCAGGAATCCTCCTGCAAAATCACGCCTGAAGATGCATATATGGGCATAATGTTCTGCTGACCGATTCTCATACAAAACTGTACACACAAATCTTAAAACACGTGGTATAACAACATTAATAAAGGTCGTTGAAAGCAAAGTATGTAGTAACACATGAACTACTTTGCATATCACAGTAATGAGTTCTGTGGTCAATCCAGTGTTTACTCTCATCATGTAAACAAGATGAATGACTCAGCTGAAATTGGGCTCTCACCTGTGTTAATTTATATATAGACTGATTTGGTGTGACATCACGAGGCGGAGTCACCGTTCCACTTGGTGAAAACAAACCCGTCGCTCACAGATGCCTTGCTATCAGCATAAGCGAAAATGGTATATGAATGCTTTGATTCTTTAATAAAAGAAGCAAAAAAGCGATATGAAGCATAACTAGAAGCTGTGCAGCTAAAAAAGTGAACATACCGTCTATCTGCCGAAATTGGGATTGACGATCCCTCAAAATATTAAACATCCCGATATCTAAGAGTATTTGATCTACACCAGGCAATAAAACTTATTTTATGATAACATAATTTGTTTTAGTAATCTATGATTTTCAGCTATATAGATTATTTTTCTCTGAAATCAGTGCTATTTCCTAACATAACTTTTCTTCCTATTTAATAGGTGTTTATACAAAGAAGACAACAAAGTTACGTAAAGGCCTATATACGCACAACGCATTTTTCTCTCTCCTCAATAATTTGAGAAAGGGCCTCTTCAGTTGTTTCATCTGCTGGACTATATGACATTACAAACACAGAAGCAACAAGAAACTTTGATTTCTTCTGAATGCTTGGTATCTCCTTACCTAGGCTTCTTTCTTTCCTTTTTTCAAATCTTTTTTAACAGTATAACTGCTTTTTGTTTTCATCTAAAGGAAAATGCTTGGGATAAAGTCTGGGTGAGTTGGATCGGAGGATGGTTTACCTGTATATTAAACTTATGATAAATCAATTTCTTACAGAAAAACGTAAAACTGCTGTTGTGCTTTTTGGAGTGTATAACTGCTGCCAAAACCTAATGTCGGCAATGTTGACCTTGATGTTGACTGTGTAGATAGACAGAGATTGAAAGCAATTATCTGTCTCTAGAATTTGAAAAGGTGTAAAATATTTATAATAATAAAATACACTGACTAGATGTAAACATAGTTTCCAACAGTTTCCCAAGCACGCCCATCAGCGTTCATGCATTTCATGGCCTGTACCCATCGCTTCCATTTTTCAGGATTCTCTTTGCAATCTGGGAATATATGAAAGGTTAAACCTTTCTTTCCCATTTCTTTCGAACAACCAGCTCCTCGGTATTTTAACGCAAAGAAACTAAATTCTCGGAAAAATTTGGTGACTCTAAGCAAAGCAGAGTGATTTTTCGAACGAACGAGGGTTTGTTTTCACCAAGTGCTCGTTGCTTGGAGCGGTTGCTAAATGTTACTGAATCAGTCTAAACCATCTTTGGTAAGTATTTGCACAAATATTGCCATAAAAGAAAATTGTCTTGGTTTTATTACCCAACTCCGCCACTACCTTGTATTGCATATTGTCCAACAACAAGAATAATTGGTAAGCTGCCTGTGATTAACGGCTGGTTTGTTAAAGCAGTATGAGCCTCGACCCAATGAATATTAGTATATACAAACATTCATATAGACAGAAATAAATGTATATCTATCTATATATATATATATATATATATATATATATATATATATATATATATATATATATATATATATATATATATATATATATATATATATATATATATATTATATACACGGGTAATTTTCTATATTACCTTCGCCTCTCCAATATCGACAATTTTGGTATCGTTGGATTCCTCTCACTGTCCACATTACAAATATATAGTTTTCATTGTGCGGAAACCCCCTGTTAGCGACAAACTTGGTCCCGATAGCAAGGGAGGGTAAGGAGGGTTCCAGGGAAAATGCGGGGTTAAATAACACTAATAATATAACAAACTGTGAAAATAACCATGGTTAATCACATGACTTTCCATTGCAGGGGGCTGTGCCCCCTGCGACCCCCCTGTGGGGGCGGCAACCACCGCCGAGGAAACAAAACCTCCACCACGTATTCCCAGCAGGCTAGACCGTTATAAAATTATCGTCGATCTCGGAGCGGCGGACATATTACAATTACCTCATAACATTCCCACTGAATCAGCATACTAACCTTGACATAGTCAGCATTATATACAGAGACAATTGTAGTATAATTAGGATGAACAGGGCATACCATGAACAGAAAAGCGCCCTTGTCGGCGGGTTTTGCGCCTTTCTCGATATTACACTGATGGCCTCAAGGCCGCCGCGATGACCGAGTGTGGAGGGTGCTCCTACTAGATTATGGTAGGGGTTATCGGCTCCGCATCTAGTTCGTGTGCGCTCTATCCTACCGTGAATATGTGGTGGATATTTTGCTTCCTCAGCGGGTTACCGTGCAATAAAACCTACATATTTGGATTGTACAAAGTGAGAGGAATCCAACGATACCAAAATCGTTGATATCGGAGAGTCGAAGGTAATATAGAAAATTATCTACATTTGTCTATCTATCTATATAGGAAATATGCATGTCAAGACATAGATATGTATCTATTTCTGTAAATATGCAAGACTGTAGAGTATTTTTCGTTTTCATGCAGTTAATTACATTATATATAAGGTAAATAAATAATTTGTTTAAATATAGCGTGGGTTTATCTGTCCTTTACCCATCCTGTTATTTGGCAAACCATAATACCCTAATCATATTAACAATATAAACAAAACAACCTTAATATATCATCCAATCATAACATCACCAATTGTAATTCTTACTTTCTTCCACCCGCTCTTTTTTTAGTAGTTGGTGCCATGTTCCTTTAGCTATTCTCTCTTCTTTGCCGTATTCTCACACCTTCCGAACCCCGAGCCTCCTGCACCACGTGTAGTCACAACAACAAGTGCTTTCGAGACTGAACTTCTTTTGCGTTCGTTGTCGGGTGATAAAGGTAGGTTGTTTATTCATCGGTTGAAGTTATGATACTATTTTATTCAGTCTGTTGATGTATTTGCAAATTTAGATATGATATTATTTTTTTCTAACAGTCTACAACAATCAAAAATATATTTTTTACAAATAAAATTACTACAGTTACGTTCCGTGATATAAATTGTTTTGATAACAAAAAAGATCTTGGTAAAAAAAAATATAAGATAGAGAATTTCTTGGGTATTCTACATATAACCGAAAAAATAAAAGACATTTAATGATTAAAAAATCATTACACACACATTTGATTATATTATGATTACAAGAAATCCGTTTAAATACCTTACATGAAAAATACGACTTTTTGATTTGATATTCAATTGTTTGATTTTAAGACAGCGATCGGAAGTGTGGATGCGGCTATGCGCCCCCGTCGGCAGCAGCCCCGTATATATATATATATATATAATATATATATATATATATATATATATATATATATATATATATATATATATATATGTGTTGTGTGTGGTGTGTGTGTGTGTGTGTGTGTGTGTGTGTGTGTGTGTGTGTGTGTGTGTGTTGTATATATATATAATATATATATATATATATATATATATATATATATATATATATATATATATATATATATATATATATATATATATATATATATATATATATATATATATATATACAAATATATATATATACAAATATAATATATATTAATACATGTGTGTGTGTTTATATATATATATATATATATATATATATATATACAATATAATATAAATATATATACATACATATATATATATATATATATATATATTATATATATATATATATATATATATATATATATATATATATATATATATATATATATATATATAATATATATATATATATATATATATGTATATATGTAAGCCATACTTGTGATTATTTTGCATTACCCTTTTTTTGGCTTCATAATATAGTCTAATTAGCCAGCATGAATTGTGGGTTCATCGGAAAACCCTTACTTTCTTTTTGTGTGAAAAGGCAGTTCCAAATCTCATCTGAACTCTCTTAAACAGGTTTCAAAGGAAGAATAAAGTCAACTTATCTTCATCGTTTTATTTAATGTTACTGCAATAAAGCTAAACAACGTAAACTTTTATATTCTTCCTTCACATTATTCATGTTCCCCGATCTTTCTTCTTACATGCCTGCTATAGAAATTAGATAAAAAACCTTGTTTGCAGCATCTCATCAGCATACACTTGCTATGGGGATGTGGATAATGTGGGAATCGCTGCAGGGGGAGGGACGGGTTAATACTACAGCATGATCAGTGGCATATTGCTAAAGGAAGTATTATTAGCTTAATTATACTGTACAAACTCTTTTATCAAGTGGTGGTATGCAATATATAAAATAAGATAATTCACCTTTCTTTGGCACGAAGTAAACATTTAGTGGTTGCGAAAGCGTTACTGAATCATAAGCATGACAACCTCGTACACTAGATGTCCCTGTCCCACCATGACAGAGACCCTGACAGCTGTAAGATTCTGCAGATGGTCTAAAGAGAGCGGGATGAAAAACCTTCCAACCACGGAGGTTCCTTATGGCGACTTCGGCCCATCTCTAGCTCTACACGGCAGGTTTCCTTGAGCTGTCCAAGCCAAACCTTCCTAGCTCGTCCCACGGACCTCCTCCACACAGGATTGTCTCGAGAAGAGACAATCTGATGGGCAGGGTCATCCACTGGGAAACGAGTTAGGGGCCCATAGAGCCCTACCTATAGAGGCTATATGCAAGTAACAGGTTCCATGCTAGCCTCACGGTGTAGCCGTCGGTTCGATACATGCCAACTGTACTCCATGATCCAGCATAGAGATTTGTTACAAAAGGCATCGAGACCTGGCTCCAAGGCACTGGATAGTGTCCAGGTTTCACTTCCATAGAACAAAACTGGCAGTATCAAGGCCTTGAAGACACGTTAGTCCCTCCCCATAGGTACCGGTACCTCCAAATACTCTTGTTAACTGAGTTCGTGGCTCCTGCTGCCAGATCAATCCGTCTACTGACTTCCTGGTCTGACAACCCAGAGACGTGACATGTACTACCAAAGTATGTAAAGCTCTCTGTGACTTCAGCATCCTCGCCACAAGCATGAATCGACTCAACAGGTTCCCCTAACAGGCCCCTAAATCCTGGATCTTGGTCTTGGTCTAGGAGACCTTCAAGCCCAGGGGCTTTGCCTTATTGGTGAATACATCAAAAGCAGCCACCAGAGACCCAGAGACTCAGAAAGGATAGCAATATCGTCGGTAAAGTCAAAGTCAATGACTTTGATATTGCCCACTGTTGCTCCACACTGACTTTGGATAGTAGCACTGCCCATTATCCAGTCCATACAAATGTTGAAAAGAGTTGGTGCAAGGACATATCCTTCTGACCCAACAGGGAAGGAGCTCAACAGGCTCCCACCACACTTTTCAGCACTTTCACTACCAGTATATAAGCTTGCTATCGAACCAATGATCCATGTTGGATTTCCTGTCTCAGGATCTCCAATAAGAATTTGTGATGCACCAAGTCAAACGACCTCTTGAGATCGATGTAAGCCGTAAGCAGCCCAACTCACGGAGCTTGGAGATTGCTACCCTGACGTCAGTCAGGGAAGGAGGTTCCTCACTAATGGGCGGGTCTGGTGCAGAGATTGCGACACCATTGGCGTCCAAACTAACTGCTGGAGGATCTCCCTGATACAGTTGCCCAAAATACTCAGCCCAACGTTCACGAACCGCACCATGATCTGAGATGATCTGTTCATCCACTGAGCAAGCTAGACGAAGGTCATTAACTAGGAAATCGCCTTCAATCTCCTCATCAATCTTCCTGATGTACTGTTCCTTATCCCTTCCCTGCAGAGTCCAAGACCTGCGCACCAAGGAATGGGGCAAAGCCCGACTGCCATTCAGTTTAGCCACGCGACATGCATCAGTGGCCTCCAGTGTCTCTAGCGAGATGAAATTCTGCCTTGTCCTCGGATGTTCACCAATGGAATCCTGTGCTGCATCAAGTGATACTGCATTGAAGTCACCCAGTACAGTGCGAATGTCACGCCGGGGACATTTGTGTGTGTATATATATAATTGTGTGTATGTATACACATATATAATGTATACAAATGTGTAAAAACACAGACACACACCGCACATGCTGACACACACAATCATATACATATATATATATATATATATATATATAATATATATATATATATATATATATATATATATATATATATATATATATATATATATATGTGTGTGTGTGTGTGTGTGTGTGTGTGTGTGTACATATTTATATTCATATACATGCGTGTGTATGTTATATGTATATATGTGTGTATATGTATATATATATATATATATATATATATATATATACATATATATATATATATATATATATATATATACATATATATATATATATATATATATATATATATATATATATATTATATATATATATATATATATATATATATATATATATATATATATATATATATATATATATATATATATATATATATATATATATATATGATATATACATATATATATATATATATATATAATATATATATATATATATATATATATATATATATATATATATATATATATATGTATATATATATATATATATATATATATATATATATATATATAATATACATATGTATATATTTTCATCTTCCTCTCCTGGCTCCTAGGGGAGGTAGTCCCATGGTTCCAACGGGGACACAGCTCTCGCAATACATAAACAAAGTATCGTTAGTGAAAGTAACAACAGGAAACCAGGAAAAACAAAACAAGCAGAGCATCTAATGCCCATTCCAATATGCAAACACCCTCCCCGCAGTGAGTCATGAAAGGCATCCGATACATCAGCTTAACTACGAGACAGAGACGTGAGGGGGATAAAGGGGGGAGGAGGAAAAAAAATCACTCCTAATCAAGGATTTTCATCATTCTCACCTGGCTCCCAGGTACGTTTGGAGAGTTTAAGGGAGGGAGCGAAAAGAATGGGATAGAAAAAATAAGGAAAAGGAAATAGAATAAAGAAACACATATACAAAAGGCACACATCAAAGAACAGGCAAAGACCAAACCTGATAAAAAAAAAAAAAAAAACAGATTAGAAAAAAGAGGACCCAACTCTGCACGACGCGAAATATAGTATATCAAAGGTGAATAAACAATAATAATAGAAAATCTCCGTAATAAGTGAACGGAAAACGAAGTAACTCACTGACAGACTGACGTGATATAAGGGGAAAGCAAAATAGTGACATACTCCGAAATTGGATAATATCAGTAACGAAAGGGAGCAACTGTCTGCATAACATCGCATATCAGTGCTAAAAGGAAATAGCTGGTCAATGATGTGGACAATCCAACCAATTCAAGAGGCTGATGTATGTGTGTGTTTTAACACAAACATATATATATATATATATATATTTATATATATTTATATATATATACATTATATGTATAATATATATATATATATATATATACATACATATATATATATATATATATATACATATATATGTGTGTATATATATATACTTATATTTATATATGTGTGTGTGTCTATGTGTGTATACATATATACATATGTACATATATATGTGTATATGTGTGTGCGTGTTTGTGTATATTGAAACACATACATATACACAGACATGTATATATATGTGCGTATGTATATATATGTATATATATATATATTATGTATGCTTATATATATATATATATATATATATATATATATAGATATAGATAGATAGATATAAATATATATGTGTATATGTATATATATATACATGCATATACATATACATATGTGTATACACACACACACACACACACACACACACACACACACACACACACACACACACACACACA